GACACACAACCAGACTGAGGACCAGAGACACACAACCAGACTGAGGACCAGAGACACACAACCAGACTGAGGACCAGAGACACACAACCAGACTGAGGACCAGAGACACACAACCAGACTGAGGACCAGAGACACACAACCAGTCTGAAGACCAGAGACACAACCAGTCTGAGGACCAGAGACACAACCAGTCTGAGGACCAGAGACACACAACAGGCTGAGGACCAGAGACACACAACCAGACTGAGGACCAGAGACACACAACCAGTCTGAGGACCAGAGACACACAACCAGTCTGAGGACCAGAGACACACAACCAGACTGAGGACCAGAGACACACAACCAGACTGAGGACCAGAGACACACAACCAGACTGAGGACCAGAGACACACAACCATGCCTCAGAGCTGGACTATAAAGTGTCTGTGACTTTAAACTTTGTAACAAACATGAATGCATTTTTCAGAGAACATTGATAACATGTTACAAAACTAACTTCACGTCACTCAGATGAACAGTTGTTGACATATTTGCCTGTAAAGAAACAGGAAGTGATGTCAGAGGGGAATGTCTGAGTGTAAACAGAGCTAACACAGACTGTGGAGAAGAATCTGATGTTTCTTTACATTATTTTGAGTTTCTATCAAAGACAGATGAAAAGTTAAAGTTTAAATAATTTTGTTTTAGTAAACAAAGACCAGAGAGTTTATTTTATAAAACAGTTGTCCTTTGATGTCACTTCCTGTTTCACTTTAGCTGAGTCACATTCAGAAGAAAACAGGCCAGTTATGAGACAAAATGTGTAAAATCATGTGTTTTATGCTAATTTTCTTCAGTATAAAGACGTTTTCTGTAGGTTGTTGTATTTGAAGGATAAACATGTCACAGATACTTTAAAACAGGGATGTCCAAAGTGTGGCCCGGGGGCCATTTGTGGCCCCTGAACTGATTTTGTGTGGCCCCTGACTTCAGTTCAAGAATTATATGAATTTGTTTACAAATCTATCCTCCCAGCACAGCTGTCTGATGTAGATGTAGACTTTCTATTTATTAGTAAAGCAAATTTATCACAAATTAAAATCTTACAATCAAAAATATTGTCAACAAAACCAATGATCTGTCTTTAAATAACCAGACTCTTTGCTTTTTCCACATCTATCAGTGACTTCTACTCAAATCCTGATTTTATTGAACAGAATTGACTAAACTGGTTTATTTTTTCCCAACTGAAACCTAGAAAAACATTTTTCACTAAGTGAAACCTGCAAATTGATTAATCTAGATTAATTTACATCCATTTCCAGCAATAAATCTGACTCCTTTATTTGTTAAATTAAAGTATTAAATGTTTAGTATGTTGTTGAGCAGGTAAAGGAGAAATATTTTTGGCCCTCAGGTTCCTCTGACTTTATGATTTTGTGGCAGGTGACTAAATGTTTGGACAGGCCTGGTTTGAAACAGGCCTGAGTCGGGCCTTCACCTTCATCCTCCTCCTCCCTGAAGAACTCCTCGCTGTCGTTGGCAGAGTGAGACTTCTTCATCTCTGCGATGCGGTTCCTGGGCACTTTCCTTCTGAGTGAAGGAGAGAAGAACGAGGGTCTGTTCCTCTCCGGGGTGGGGGGCGTGCTGAACGACGTCACCTGTGGGGCGGCGCAGACACACAACAGACACACAACACTTCAGCTGCTTTAAGAAAAACAGCTGAGGGTTAGATTAAAGTGAAGGAAACTCAGATTAAAACGGTTTAAACGTAAAGGATCAGATAAATTAAAATGAGCTCAGCTTTATTAACTGATGTTTTTATCAACTTTTTTCATATTTTCTCTAATTTACATCAAACTTTAGAAGAATCTAAAGTAGAACAGTTTTTTATCGTAAACCAAAGCCAGACTTGAGTGTAAAGTCTGACTGGTGTTAATCTCATCAGACTATATTAAATACATGATTCAGCTCAGCTGCATTGATAATTCATGGTGACCTAAATTCAGCCTGGATGGTCGTGTTGCTCAGTCTGGACTGGTTCTGGCTTTGGGTTCTGCTCACCCTCTCGTGGACGGGGGACACCTGGTCCTCCTCGGTGTTGCAGGGGGACGTGTCGCCTGTCGGCACCCGGCTCACGGCCATCTCAGCGTGACCTTTGCCCTGAGGGCCCTTCATCCTCACAAACTCCATGTTGTTGTATTTGTAGAAGCCGAAGGACATGCGCTGCGCCATCTTAGCTGCAACGCTCACCTGCAGCACAACAACACTATTTACACACACGCAGCTGGATCTACTTCCTGCTACAGTCAGGCTGTGAGAAGACTCAAATTCAGTGCAGACAATATTTATGTCTACAATGATGAAACTGCTAACTGCTAACATTACCACACTGCTAACATTACCAATCTGTTAACACTACCACACTGCTAACACTACCACACTGCTAACATTACCACACTGCTAACATTACCAATCTGCTAACATTACCAATCTGCTAACATTACCAATCTGCTAACATTACCACACTGCTAACATTACCA